TCTGGCCACGTTCCCCAAGCAGCGAGCGGGCGTCAGCCACTGGCCTGCCCCTGCCGCACTGGCAAACCCCAGGTCTTGTGCTGTACGGAAGGGAAACCGAGGCATGGGGCGGAGAAGCGAAATGCCCTCGGTCACAGGGGTCAGGGCAGGGCCAGGATGAGGACACTGACCTCCCGGCCCAGCACGGCCGGAGGGCAGGAGCCTGCAGCACTGGAGCAGGCAGGGGACCGGGGTCCGTGTCCAGCCCCAGGTGGGAGCGAATGCTGGGAGAGCCCTGAAGGGCAAATGCTTCCCCAGCACAGGCCCTACCCCAATTCCTGCCCAAGCTGGCTCTCCTTCCCCCCACCAACCCTCCCCAACCCTCCTTCCAGGCCACATCTTGTTTCCCAACCACCTACTCCCATGTGGGGTGCACTTGGGTCCCATGGCTGGAGCACAGGCCTGAGGGCCAGGAGCCTCCTGGGTGGCCTCAAGCCTGCCCCCCCCACCGCCAATCCCCACCAGCAAGATGAGCTGGCTCAGCCCAGCCCAGGCCGATGAGCAGGTTTGGACTCTCCGCAGGAACTGCCAGGGCCACAGGCACACGCTACTAGTCTGGGGAGCTGGGGGGGGGGTGGGTTGTGCCCCCCTCTCCCAGAGGAAAAAGGGTCTAAAGGGCTGTGGCCTGTGGGCAAGGTTGGCAGGGGTGGGTGCTCTGTGCCCAGAGTTCCAGGCTGCAAGGAGGTGGCAGGAGGAAATGGAGCTGGGAAACCCAACTCCTGCCCTCCCCAGCCCCTGCTCCAGCCAGGCCTGACACCATGTCTTGCCATTGGCGTGTGGCCATATCCTGCCCCTCGCCAACCCTCTGGGCAGGGCTCACCCCGGCCTCTTCCTTAAAGCAGGCAAGAGGAAGCAGCGGGGCAGGAGGGGCGGAGTGGGGCAGGCCCAGCTGGCAGCGCTGAGCTCTTCTGGGCACTAGGTCTGTGTCTCAGGTGCTGGCCTAGTGCCCAGCACTGTGTAGGACAGCTCCACCCATCTGGGCTGGAGGCTGTGACAGGCAGGACACAGCAGCTCAGGCCACAGGTCCCTTCAGTGCCTGGGGAGGCCAGACAGTGAGCATGGCCAGGGGGCTGGGCAGGGGAAGACAAGGGGTTCAGTCTTACCTGCCCTGGGGACTCAGACCCTGGCGTTGTTGCCGCCTGCCCGGGCTGTGGAAGTGTCCTGGGTTGCTGCTGCTCAGACAGAGACCTCGGTGGGGTTGTTTTGTCCATTAAAAGTACACCCCAAGTTACACTGCTGAGCATGGCACTGCCTGTGGTGCAGCAGGGACCCATCCGACCCCCCAGCTGTGCCAGCAGCCCCATCCAGGTATGAGGGGGGAGAGTGAGTAGGATCCCAGTTGCTGGGCCAGGGGTGCTTGGCTTCACAGGCAGCAGGATCTCACTGACTGGACACTGCTGGAGACACCTGTGCTCCTCGCCAGTTAGGTTAATGAATGGACAAAGCTAGCACCTGAGCAGAGGCCAGGGGGTGACTGCAAGGGGAAAGGCAGGGGCAGGGTGGGGACTGTGGCTCTGGCCTGCTGGCTGGACCCCCATGGTGCCACAGGCCTGCCGTGGAGGAGCATCCTGGGAAGATGGGGGCTGGAGCGGGTCCTCACCCTCACTTGCACCCAGCAGCAGGGGACAGGCAACCTATTGCCCCTTCACAGGGTGCATGCTGCGATAGGGGTGGAAGCATCAGGCACCTGGGAAGAGGGCCAGGACCCTCTGTCCTGGGGGCTCAGACAAGGGCATGGGGCACCCCAAAACTTACCAGCCCAGCATCCTCTGGTGTGGCTGCACTGAGACCCAGTCCTGCTTGCCCAGCCCATACCCCAGCCCCATCACCATCATAGGGACTCACTGGTAGCAGGCAGCCAGCTCCAGGGCAGTCACCACCCTGCCAAGATGAAGCCAGGAGCAGCTGGCAGCCCTCAAGGGCCCATCCCCAGAGCCTGCCAAAATCCTCCCATCTCCACCCCCCTCCAGAGGGGCTTACGTGCCCTGGCGGGGCTGGCAGCCAGCCGAAGACGGACAATGCGGAGGCAGCAGCAGCAGCGCGGGGCCTTTCATCCTTCCCTGCACCCAGACCCGGTGCCAGCCGCTCTGCTCTGCTCGCTCACGCGGCAATTACAGCGCTTTGATCCGCTGAGATGCGCCCATTGTCAGGGACTCTACGGGGCCATTAGGGCCCTGCAGGCAAGGGCCTGATCAGCTGGCTGGGGGGAGTTGATGGGACAGGGCTGTGGCAGAGGACAGGGGCCCCCTGGAGCAACTAGAGCCAGGAGCAATGCAGGGCTGGGGCCCCATGGCTAGCACATGGGGGCACTTCTTTGCCCCCACCTTCCAGCGAGGAGAGCCGGGAGCCGGGGCCACAAGCCTGCGAGTCCAGCCAGCCGGACTGGGCAGGGATGTTGGCAGGAGCTGGGCAGAGTGGAGCAGCCACAGAGCACAGGCAGGAGACTGCTTCTGCCCAGATGGGCGGCGGGGGCCAGCTGGAGATAGCTGGGTGCCCACCGTTGCACCCAGCTGCTCATCAGGGGCATCCTAGACAGATCCTAGCCCAGGCCAGCTGAGGCTAACCTGGCTGCCTGCTTCTCTGCTTCCCCACAGGGGACAGCAGGGCTGGGGCTGGGGGGTGCCCATGGGGCGCTGAGCCAGGGAGAAGGGAGTTGGCTCGGCACCGGGCACAGGACACCAGCCTGGGCATCAAGCTCCTGGGGGAGCTCACAGCAGCTCTCACACAAGCAAAGGAGAAGCAGCTCTGGCTGCCACACTGAGCACAGCCAGCACCCACGAGCTGGATTGCAGCAACACGGACAGATGGGACATCTCAGATGCCCCTGGCCATCAGTGCAGCAGAGCACGGGTGCAGCCGGGCCAGAGAGACGGGGGTGGTGGGCTCCTGTCCTCAGAGATGCCATGCAGGAGCTAGGATCTGTCTAGGAAGGGCTAGGACCGGGCTGGGTGGGCCTGAAGGCTGTGGGCAGTTGAAGAGAGGCAGCCTGGCGTCCCCAAGGGCCAGAGGTGAAGGCTCCTTGGAGCGGTCAGCAGTGGTGGATGGAAGATGGAGGCGGGAGACAAGCCCCCAGACCAGCCCGGGCAAGGCTGAGGGGTCTTTGGGGCAGGCGGGCGCAGGAACAGAGCAGCCCCCCGCCACAGAGGTGCAGAGAGGCAGCTGGGCCGCAGGGGGGGCTCTCCGGGGATGGCCAAAACAATGGGGCGTTTGAAGCCCAAGAACGGCCCCGCAGCCTCCGGGAAGGTCGAGAACAAAGGGCAGTGCCGCACAATGGGCTTGCCAGGGGGGCCGGTGGGAACCAGGCCTGGGCCCGGCCTTCATTAGCGACGCAGCGGGGGAGCAAGCAGGGGCCGGGCCTAGCTGG